TGTCTAATTATAGGTCATATTAAAGATAGAGAAAACAGACAGTATAATATGATTAATATGATTTTACTTGGTCACTACCCTGTAATGAATTTATTAACAATGGATTGTATGGTGAAAATTTTTTGTTTTGTTATCATTGAACAAAATAATAAGATTTAACTTTTTACTATTCATAAAAGAAAGGAATAAAAGATTAATTTATTGTATTCTTGTGACAAATGACAATAATGACATACATTTAGCTGCTTTTGAAATTCCAACGGACTTTTAACAAAAATCAAAATAAACTACATCTGTTAACAATACAAATGAATTTATGTAATATCATGTTGTATTAATTATTTAAGAAATAACATGAAATTCATAAAATAATGAATTTTTTATTTAAAAAAATCATCATCTACATTTAGTCTAAAGAGATGAAAATTGTTTGAAAATGTTATTTTGTATACCTTTATAAAATACGAGGATATTTTTATACTTATCGTAGTATTAGGTCAGTATGTTGTATTCTTATATGTCGAGTGTACCTCGTTATAGAGTATATTCCACTGTAATGGATGTATTAAATTTTAATTTTATGATTAACAATGTATATAAACAACGATTATGAGCGAAGATGTTTTATCACTTTAAATAATTAAGTATATTTTAATAAATATTTATATTGTTCTTAAACATTTATCAGGTTAAATTATTTTTTTTCGAAAACATCGATTTATTTTATTTTAGTATATCTGTAAGCCTGAAACCCATCAATTTCATCTAGGCTCGCACTAATCATTAATATTTGAAAAAATAGTGATATGAAAATTATGTTATGATAAAATAATTATTATTGTAAATTTGATTTAAAAAATATTATTCAAATCTTATTATTGTAATGACTTCGTAACTATACGAGGTAAAATTTAAAAAACTTTAATCCTGTTTAAATAATTTGGAAATAACCTTTGTTTGGTATTGACAGTTAGTAATTGTTTTTGGCATTAAAAAAAAATAAAAATAAACGTTTTCAACTAAGTAATTAAATTTTTATATTTGCATTTGATGTATTTTTTAATCCAAATTTATTATCACATATTTTGTATTTATTCGTAAAAATCGTAAAAATTAAATAGCCATATATACTTCTTACATACAATAAATTTAACCTTTATTATTATACAATTGTAAAATCGATTGAAAATATTCACTTATTTTATATTAGTTTAAGAGTTTTGGCGTTAAATAAAATTATTTATCTAAATATTATATATTTATATAATATATAATTCTCATTAAATTTTAAGTTGATTTACTCTTTACTGACACACCGTAGACAATCTGTCTGAATAAATTCATGGTATAAATACATAGTAGCTTCAAATTAATCTAAATATTTTAAAAATATTATTAACCATAGTAAAATATTTTAATGTATGTACAATGTACAAGTTTCTAGTCCCCGCGAGTAATCAAGTAATATTTTTGCAGTAAAAATTAATTACTTAAATCCTTATTTTATGTTTAAATGTTCATTTTTGTTTAAATTTAAACTTCTGTTTTCTTATAAGTATAGATCAGTATAACATCTAATTATTTATTTTTATAATTTGTTAAAATTTTAATATTATAATCTTACCTCAACAATAAATCGACCCAGTTATTATTATTTTTTAAAATATATATTAAACTAATTATAAACGAATCTTTGTACTTCAATTAGGTTTAGGTTGTAAATTTAACTTGTAGATAATAATACTATTAAGTAAACATTTTTATTGTTGTTAAGTTGATTATAATATGCAACACCATAAAACATTTTCCTTATACTTAGCATTTAATATAGGTGGTCTTTTTTTATAGCTTCCATTACATGCTTATTTTCATAAAACGTTAATAACATGTAGATATGTTATAATATACGACTGTCCATAATTCAAGCTAACTTAACTAAGCTTATTTTTTTAAAGTTTTATTGAACAAAATTTATTTTAGAAATTCATTCTCATAATAGTGATATGGAACTTTATATGGCACTTAAAATATAAAATAATTTATAGTACTTGGTGAACTATTACGATAAGCCAATAAGGTCTAAGTTAACAATTTTGTAGGATGCAGTTACTATACGCATCTATTGAGCTATTAATATTATAATGAACTATACTCACACGACATTGAGTTGTGCCTATCTAAATGTATTATTTGGGAAAAAAATTACAATATGTATAAATAAATTTAACAGTTTGTTTAGTGTGTGCTTATGTTAGAGAATATTTTTTGACAATTAATTTTATAGTCAGTTTTATTATTTATTCAGTTTTTTTCCATGAGGGTTGATAAAAAAAATATATATTTATTAAAAAAGCAAGAAAATGTTATACAAGACTCTTCATAAGTTGTTCCTAATCAAATTAAAAATTTAAGTTAAATCTAAATTTACATTTATTTGTATAAGCAACTGAATTTTAAAATGACGAAATTAAATATACAAAATATATTAATTAATGGTTTCTCTTTAGATGATTTTTGTTACTTTGTTGTAAATCAAAAAATATTAATTCTTGATACTTGAAACATTTCAGTATTAAACTTAAATTATTATTTTCTATAAGGTATTCAATTTTAAAAATATTACCATTTATTTTAGGCAATTTCTATAGGCATTGACATTTTTTAGTTTATTTTATAAATGTTGATACAATTTTCATAATTGATCAAAACGCTGAAAACGTTATGCAAGATTTCTTACAATTTTTTTTTTAAGTTGCCATTAAAAAATATCTAATACTAATTATATGTGCAAAATTTTTAATAAGCATTCGAGATTTGGATTTTGACAACATTTATTAAAAAATTGAACATTTAAATATTCGAAAACTATTTGGAAATTAAATTTTAATAACAACCCTATTGAACCCAAATTGAATATAAAATTCATTAAAAGTTTTTTTTTTGTGGCACTCTTATTAGAACATCGGAAAACATATTATCCTTAACGTGTTTATAACGTTAACTTATATATTTACTGCGATATGTATTAAACATCGGTGTTGACGTATTTTAAATCACCTATAAGTTAATACAATTTGAGAATACTTATCTCAAAATATTTATTAATTAGAATTCGTTGTTAAAATTGCATAATAAGTATAATATTATTTAAGTATTTGCAGCATTATAAATATGTTTAAAACGTCGACGAGCGTAACCAGGAATTGTAAAAGTAGTGATATTAAAATAGAGTTTTGCTATAATTACAGGGTGGTTTATTTTACAATTTTTTTTTTTTAGAGCATTTAATTTAATCAGAAATTTTACAAATATTAACAAACTATAACAATTTTTCAAATTTCATAGCATAGAACCTCTATGAATAATTGTAATTTGTTGATTACCGAATAGAAAACGTTATCCTATTTTTCAGGAGTACCGAAGTAGAAAAATATATTAATACTGCAATAAAAAATATGATTATAAATTTATTTATTTATTATTACGAGTTTTATAATTATTTAAAATATCATATTACGAAAAATTAATGATCCCTGTAGTCGAAACATATGATTAATATAATAATATTGATTAAAATAAAAAAAAAAAAAAACAAATAAATAAATACAGAATTAAAGCTAAAGATTTTTTGGTTAAAATTTGTAAAATGATTAATGAACCTATAATATATGGAAATGTATATTCGGTACTTAGTACTTGTGATTGGGAAAAAAATATTATATGAATATTGAAAAGTCACTCGGAGACTGAATTTTGTTTATTCCGAAGGTGTATTCGTATATTATGTTAATTTGAAATTATGTACCTATTCATAAATCGGTTGTTCATCTGATTAAACTTAGATAAGTCTATTCACATGAAATTTCTAGATGAAGTCTATGGTTTATAAATGGTACATTTGATACAGAAATACAAAATATAGATGATTTTAAAATATTAAATTCCATTCCTCAAAGATATATTTTGAAAATATTATTTAAAAAATAACATAATTGTCAAGAAATGTGGTTCTTATTAATATTGAACATTTTTAATATAATTATTTACTTATATCCAATTATTATAATATGATCGAAGATATGTCTTATAAAATTATGATGTTTCAAAGACTATAAGAAATATTTACGTTGCATCACGTTAAATCAGGTGTGTTCCATTTACCAATTTGTTGTGGTGAGAAGGTATGAAGAGTCTCCAATCAATTTTAAAATATTAAATTGGATATATTTTGTCTATAAAATATAAAATAATATAGGTTAAAATTTGATTATATTTTATTGATTTAACCCTTCCTTTCTAAAAACACTTAATAAAGCTATCTACGTTACATATGTTATAATAATCAAACGATCGTAATATGGTTACTTGTATGTGTGTAAAATGTACCTATAATTTTATTCTATCTAAAATAGTTTAAAAAACTAATAATTTTAGTTTTAACATTTAATATTAATTGTATACTTATGTAGGTAGTGACGTGATGTTGTATTGTATTGTATATAATATCATAAAATCAATGTTTTTTCTAATATTATATTATTACATATTATAATTATTATTGTCATATTAACTTATGGTTTTACGAATAATATAATAAAATGATTTCCGCCTTCGTAATAATTGACATATGAATTAATGTCCAGTACCTACTGTAATTTCTCTGTCAGTGTTGTAAAGTACACTTAGTAGGTAGTATATTTACGTTTAATATAAAATATCATAAAAAATACATTTCAATGTAAGGATATTACTTTATATATATAGAACATTGTCAACATTGTAAGAAATGTAACAAAGGGATGTGTACCATCGGATAAAGAACTTGTAGGGTTGTGGTGCACCTGTAGGACATAGGTAACTTACTTTAATGCGTTTAGTAACAGTTGCTTCGCGTCGTTGCCATAATGCAGTTGGTACGCACTGCGCGGTCGCACTATCGTTGCACAGTTGGTAATTGGTTGTCCGGTGAAAAGCCGCCGTGCTAGCCGTGTGACTTCATCGAAACCACCACAGAGTCAGTGCACCAATAGCTAACGGATAAACGTTGTTGTTAGTTGTCGTTCGTTCTTAAGAATAAATCGAACAATTGTTATACGAAAAAAAATCGCCGGTACGCCGTTATTGTGATTATTATTATTATTGTGACTATATTTTTAACATTCAGTGTGCATCGTACGAATTCTAAACGATATATTGTCATCATTTTTTTCTCGGTCTTGGCAATTTATTTAAGACAAAACGTCATGTAATCGTATACGGATTTTACGATAATACTGGTATCTTACGAGTCTAGTGCCGTTCGGACGACCGTACTGTACTTTTTATAGGTATTGAAGGTACGACGCCCGATAAAGAAATAATTTGCTAACGTGATATTTTGGTGAGTACCTAAAAGTTAATTTACTTTCACGATTTTGTTTTTCGAATTTATTTTGTTTTATTGCTATCTTTGTCTGCTTAACTATATAAAACCGCGATTTGGATGAGCCAAATCGCCCGTTCATAAATTATTTCACATAACAACTGACGTCGTTATATAAATATATGCCTATTTAAGTACATAATATTATTATAATATGCCGTTTTGGATGTGCAACGGGACGAATAAATAATAATAATATGATACTACCACACTCTATGTAGCTGTGTGTATACAAAAAATAATAATAACGAAACAGGTTCGTCTGGTGTGTTTGTGTTGAGGGGGGGGGGGGCAGTAAAATCACCATCAGCACACCCTACACCCGGTCAGGTGAATACAATAGGTAACATTCCGTTCAGGTTTTAGGGTTGTCTCTCGTATAAAAATGAACTACCAACTCTTTGCTCCTCTTCATTTCTTTCTATTTAGATAATAGTAATGTGTCTATGTTATTAAACTATTATATGCCTTTGTGTGAGTGTGTATATACTTGTATGTGTTTGTATAACTGTAGGCATATTAATATAATACACGAATAAATTTTTAACTGACCGTTTTAAAAGTAAATGTTGTTATAAAATGGATAGATATTATCCAGTGGTGTAGTTAGGATTTTACTGATAATTTGTTATATTAATAGGCATATAGGGGAGACTAATCTAAGATCCTTTAGAAGTTTGGTGTGCAGTGCCTTAGGTGTATAACATTTTAGAATTTTACAGTCACCTTCATACAAATTATAATTTTAATAAAAATCTTTTGTAATAAGTATGTTTACAAAACACTGGAAGTATTTTTAAATTTTCCTAAAATTGACGGCTGAAAGCACCTTTTGGAAGCTCTGGCTACATTACTAATATTGATGTTACCTATTGTTATTATGTTTGTAAAAGATAATAATTTTTTTTTAGATTTTATCGTTCAGGTTAATTTATTTCGAGTTTAATTTTATATTTATTAGCTATAATTTTTATTTTTTATTTCTCAGTATAAATAACGTTTGATTAAACAATCGAAGTGGTTTTTATATGGATTTATTTAATCCTACGTGTTTAGCGTTTTATAATAATGATACCCTTAATTAAGCCCATAGAGGTACTTGATATATAGATCTTCTTTAGTGCACTTATATTTGATGGTTAAATGAGTATCGTGTACTAACGTGGATTAAAATACAACCAGCGATATTTTATTTTATTTTTGTTTAGGAAAGGGGTCACATAATTGTTTAACAAATTACGAAAAATATCATTTGAAACGAGTTTTTTCTCTATCGTGTAAAATATAATATTTTTAGTACAAAGTAAGGTGACATTATCCATATTCGCAATCTGGTTAGACGACTATATGTTTTTTTATATTTAATTTATTTGCATTTTCACATTCTTTAATTAAATAAACATATTATACAGTGAAATTAAAAGTCACCTGCAAGGCTGAATTGTATAAGCATATTATAAATGATGGTGGTTGCGGCTACTTTTCGTTGAGAAATCTTACTAATCTCGTCCATCACGATAAAGATGCGTTAAGTATAATTTTATAAATGCAATCAATATCTTTTACAGAAAATTCTCGTCTCCCGGTGGTCCCTTAAAACTGTAAAGATTATAATCGACTTTGCTTAAAAATTTTAAATTTGCACAGCAGTAATTATTGTTTATTATAAGATGAACTTTTTCATGTTTAGGTATATATAATATATTCTGTAGTCAGTATATACAGAATTATAACAAAACGGGTATCGTATTACAAAATGTGTTTACTATTAGGTACCTAGACAATATGTACATATAGAAATACTACATACCTATTATTATTATTAGTACTATTAATGGCAATCCATTTAATTTTTAATTCTTATCTTTATGATTTATTAAATATAAATAATTATTATCTAGTATAGTATTTCGTTGTTCTTTCTTTAAATGTTAATTTTGTGGTATTATGGATGTCAAATGATAATAGTTTCACTTTCCACACCATCATGTTCCCGGAAGATTCAAAAACTATATCATTCGTAAGAAGAAGACGTCCTGTTTGCAAGTTAATTAATTTGTATTTACCTAGAAACAAAATTTAAATGTAATCAAAACATTAAATAATAATATACCTTGATGGGTTACGACGCATTGTACAACTAAACTTTATAAATGTGTTTTCGTGCATATAAAACACTCGACCTATAAGGTTGGATTCGATAGAACTTATACGGTACCAGTGATCAGTGGGTCGAGTGGTTTTCTCGTAAGATTATATATTTACATTTTGGTAGACAATTCAGTGAGCACGACTGTAATAATTCAGTTATTAATTATTATTATGTAATGAATAATGATTAATGGCATTCAATGATTACATTATTCAAAGAAGACAAAGATGCAAACAAAATAATAATAATCTTGTAAAAATTAGAATACATTTTTGATCTATAGTATTAGGAAAATAATAATTACAAGGAAAATGTCTTTAAACATCGATTTATTGTCCTAAATCTTTAAAATATTCTTAATTAATTAATTAATTAGAAAAAAAAACACTTATTTCTCTAGTATAAATTTATATAGCCTTTAATAGCAAATGACAAAATAAATTTACATTAAACAGTCAATAAATTGTCTATCTTATTTGCATATATTTTTCTTTTGTAATAAAGTTGTTTCGGCATATTTTAAAATTATATTTATGGTTAATAGTATATTAAATATTTTAAATCGAAGTATGCTGTGATACTGTGTTGAAATTTCTTAAAAACTTAACATTAGTTATATATATATATATATATATATATAGGAGTATTTACTTGTTTATTAGTTATTACAGTTAAAATACTATTAATTATTAGAAAAAAAAGTTATTTTAGTGTAATACATAATTAAAATGTTTAAATAAGTGTTTTATGATTATTAAAAGCTCAATTCGATATGATACTGGTTTATTTGACCATATTTATTCCTAAAAATAATATGAAATCATTTAATATTTAAGTAAAATACGTCCATTATCTCGAGACGAAAATAATTACCTGATCAGAATTTAGATACCCAAGACTAAACTATTTTCCTCCTTTTGCACAATGTAATAATTTTTATTATCTTTTTTCATTGTATACGACGATATAATGGCATCGAAAAATATCTATTTGTATGCATTTCTGTAAAATATATAAAATAAATAACTAGATTAAAATATTACTATCAAAATATTTAAACAGATTAAAAAATGAACTTCACGTATTTAATTTTTACTGTTGACTGGAATAAATTTTCTAAGCTCTGAAACATAATTATATTATATCAGCTAATAACGATTTATCAAATGGGATATTTTTATTACTTTGCCTATAAATAGTTAATGTGATTGCAATTTTTGATAACATGTCACTGTTTAATAATATTTTATATTAGTAATTGATGATGATATATTTGGATTGCAATATATATGCAATACTTGTTACACGTAAACTAAAACCTGTGAAGAGATACACGTGTGCATACGTCTACTTGTAGGTGTCCGAAAAAAATATGCTTGGCATACTACTATACCTTTGTTGCACACTTGTGCTTTTCACGTACCTAAATTAAATATAATAATAATTAACACAAAGTCGACATATGTGACCTTGTTCTGATGATACAATTGCGTTGTGAGTATATTATAATATCAAGAGTAATAAAATCAGGAACTGATTCGGTAACTAAAAACCTGACGTCAATTTGTTTTTGATTCTGACCACGTGTGAAATTTATTTTAAGAGTTGATTTTTGTTTTTCATCTAGTTTACTTTTATTATTAGGTGGAAAGTACAAATGAAAATATTGAAGTCAATTTGTGATTGGGCTTAATAAAAATAAAGTACTCGCACAGGTACTGGAAATTGCTTATGTTTGTTTATAACCTTAATTCAACAATAGTTAACATATTTATACGTTGTTTTTAAAATTCACAATTACAGAATTATTTTTATATATAGTTGTATAGGTACCTTCAATTTTGATACTATTTTTTTATGTCGTTACATACCTTATAATACCGAGTATAACGTCACATTTGATCGAAGAAAATGATTACAAAGAGGCGACGTACAACGGGAGCGGTGGTTATTATTACATCTATTCGAGAATACGAATGTAAACATTACTGATTCTGATTATTTTACTGGTCTGCAACATATACGTATAATGACAAAAAAATTGAATTACGGTTTGCACTTAATGGTTATATAATTCTATCAATCACTATTAGTGCTTAGTTATTTATTATTTTGAACTATATATATGTATATATATATTTAGTTACAAATTTTAGTCAAAGGATGCTTACACTCAACAGTATTAAATGTTAATTTGAAAATTTAAGTTGCTCACTTTTTTTCAAACAATAATCTGCGCGTTAATACGTTTTTCTTATCATATTAAACATTATATTAGCTGTTAATTTAATTTCACTTAATTTGATAAATATTGTATATACCCACTGATATTAACTGATATTGTAACAACTATTGGCTAAAATATTTTAATAATATTTTTGTATTTAAAAAACTAACTAAATATTTCATTACGTATATTAACTTTGATCTTAAGAGTTTTTTGTATAATGTTTAAATAGTTATGGAAAAAACAATGTTACGCATTACTGCAACGTGTGTCTTCATTACTTTCATAATCAACTCATAAGTTAAGTTAATACAATAATGCGATTGCATTGGATGTATAATATAATACAATATGTAGGAAATACTCGTGGAGAAAGTTTTTCTTTTAGATTTTATCATGTTGACTTAATCGAATACAAAATAATGCATTCAAGGACTAGTGTTGAAAATTAAAAAAAAAGCAAATGTTTTAGTCTCTTTACCATAAATTGAAAAACTTCCGTCAACATTGTGCAGTACTCCAAATAACAAAACATATTGCAAAAGATAAAAATATCGAAACCATAACAATAAAGCCAAAATAAAATAAAATAGTTATAATAACTGATTACAAAAATATTGTAATGGAACGTGTCTACACTTATCTTTGGCTATGCTCCAATTTGACTATTATATCTTTTTTCGTCCGATCACGATATCCATCTTTTACGATTCGCCTTGGGGTGCATTGACTATAAGATCAAATGTATAAATTTTGTCTTAGACTTAGGTATTTAAAAAAAAAGATATTAACTTAAAAAAAAAAAATTCAAGTGAAAAGTGTTTCTACTATAGGTGATTTATTTTAACTTATCATTCATGTATTGTTATTACTTATTATTGTATTATCTTCATATATTATGCTTATAATATCAAATTAGATTTTTTAGTTAAACCCTACATTCTATTATTATAATTATATATATATTTGTACAATAACTTTTTTTTTATTAATTACTAGGTAGTGTAAATATTGTAAAAGGTATTTTTTATTTTCATACTTAAAATCATTGATGTTTAATTTTTTTAATTACCATTTCGAAAATTCTATTTCAATAAATTGTGAAGCAATATTTATTAATTATGTATAATTATATAAAGGTACCATATTTTTAATTAACCAATTTTATTTAAAAAAAATAAAAAAATGTATCTTTGTCTGATATGCAAAATAATAAGTTATGAATGAAACAGAAATGGAAAATATTTTTTCACAATAATATCTAGTAATAAGACTTATACATGTCATAAATGAATACACTATATAATATGCAGTGTGTACAATACTAGAAAATATTATTCAGATGCCTTTCACATTCTAAAAGAGCTCAAGGACCGTAATCACAATTCTATCGAAGATTCTATAATTTACGAGCTATGATTGCTAATTTAGTTTGATAGAGATTGTTTGGAGCAAGTTCAATGTTTCTAAATAACTTATCATATTATTAATATTAATAATGTATATATTAAATAAATATATAAACATTAACAATTATATTATTTCTAATAGGTGTTATTATACTATTATGTATTACTCGTATCAAAGGAAAAAGATGTCCAACTTTCAAAGAATATAGTAAATATATTTTTATGACACATAAACTTTACAGCTTTCCAATAGATAAGCGTAAGTTTTTATGATAATAACATTTTTTTAAATAAACTTTATAGATATATGTATTTAATTATTAAAAATAAAAATAATTTTCGATCATGAAACATTTCTTTGTTTATATAATCGTGTATCATTCTAGACATTATTTATATAGTATATATTATTCAAACACAATAAATATAATTAATCAGAAAATAATGTAGATACTTAATTATTTCAAATAATGTTATAATTTGTTGTACTTGGATAGTAGATATTATTATTTTTTTATTGTTGTAAATATTATGTTTATTGATTATAAGTATCGGGTTATAACAGTATACGTTTATATTTATAAGTTAGGTACCTATTTTTTTTTAGGAATATATTATTTGATTTAAATATATATTATGACTTTATTATTAGTATCCAATAATTAGTAAATAATAATTTACATTGGTATGTATTATAAATCTATGATTTTTTTTTATTAATCAAAACTAATTTATTATTATTTATTCAATTCGTAAAAAAAAATCATAACTCTCAATGTATTTTATTTTGACATATTTTTTTAAAAATATTTATATACATACGTATTATTGTCTATTTAAGTGATATCGTAAAAAATAGGTTTATTATGATTTTTTCACACTATAGTATTAAGTAATAAATAGTTATCTATGCAATGAATCATAGTAATTAGTTTGTTTTTTTTTTTTTTTTTTGCAAAATTATTGCTCAGCTATTATCTTATTGGTTCGCCCATATTTATGTATTTCAATAATTTTAACTTTTGATAATTCGTTAACTATAAACCCTTAACGTTGGTAAAAATTTAAAATAAAATTTAATAATAATGAGTACTATACTACTATATTATCAAAAATATTCAGAATTTAATCGATGTAATATAAATATATATGTAGAATATACACATATACCATGTGTAATATAATATTTGCAGACGAACCACGGTCACTGACCGATGTAAATAAACTCCTAACCTAACCTGTACCGACTCAGGCATTTAGGTTAGAGTTTCGATAATAGTTGGGGCCGTGTCGTTATAGTGACAACCGGTTCCTTGCATAATATTATTATTCACGTCTTTCCTTAATGAGTAAACCGTTTAGGTTTCTGAGCGCGTTCTTCCCACTCGTTGCTGTACGTAGGTACTCTCTGTAAAACAGGGTTTACGAACATAATAATGAGTATCGATATTTGTTGGCGTAAAACCTACAGAAAATTAAATTATATTCTGACATTAGATTGATATGTTTTCCTTTGAAACATTATCGGTAAGACGACAAGCGCATGAATAAAGATTGGCTGCGGCAATGGCAGGTATTCTAACTTAATACTCGAAATATTATGAGTTTCGTTTATAATTGTTTATTTTGTGTCTGTAACCGTTAAAGCAGTGGTCCATGAGCGTGTTGCTTTGAAATCGTACATAGAATCATTCTAAATTTATTCTCAAATTGATGGATAGGTGAAATCATTTTAATGGTATTTGGTAACGTATAACTCTTAAAAGTTCCTCTGTTATAGTCGCATATCAGAATTTAGATCGAGTATCCTCAGCGATTGTGTCCTCGATGACTCTTTTTATAATCAGAATAGTATTTCAGGCATGTTAGAAATGAAACAGTTCGTGATGCGTTTACCCACCACCACCACCCTATTCGGCTAGCGTACCATATGTAAGAAAACGATAGTGACAGTTGGACCAAGAACAATTAATTATTATTGTACATAGTTGTGCCTGCTGGCGCCCCTTTATTGTAATTAGAATAATATTGTCCGTGGACGTGTTTCGGTGTGAAATTTAATGTAACGGTGACATGTATATTATACATATATACGTATGTCTTATATGTTTGAGGTGCTATGTGTTTTTTCTTCTCCATGTACCTATACAAATGGAGGTCATGGCTACAATTCTTGCCGTGAGAAGAAGGCATACAGTAATATTAAATACATATAATAATAAAAAAATGAAATTCGGGCCGGCAGACACTGAACATAGAATCTCATAGCACGTCAAAACATTACGTACCGGTGTAAGCCCGCGGCTCAAGTTAAATCATTTTAACATTTAAACTGTTGGCGGTCGAAACTACTTCTATATTTGCTTGTGTGTGTGTGTAAATGTTTACGCTTCTTTTTGACGATATTGTTCGCGTATTTTTGATATAGTTAACCGGGTCGTCGTTAGAAGTTTGACATATTTATTTGTATGTTTTAAGATTATTATTATTATATGAACCGCGGCCGAAAATTATAAAGTAAAAGGGTTTGATATACACACGGGTTGAAGTAAGACGTGTTCCGCGTGTCACGGTTTGTACGTCAATTAAAAATTAACGCTTTCAAAACATTTCCGAATGACCGATAGAGCCGTATACAGCTTAAGGTACCTATATTATATATTATACCGGTACGTGTGTAATAACCGTGAATCCACCATTGCTGTTGCGTATATATGTGGTATGTACGGCATTCGTACAAACATGGAAAAACGTGTATAAACTGTAAAAATTATGTAATGTGATGGTTCGCATACTTCTTAAAATTTTTACAAAAATTCTACTAACTACAAGAAAACAAACAAATTAAAAATTGCATAGTTCAAATGTGTATGTCTTTTAATTAAGTGTTTAGTATAAACTCAGTCTTGTGTTGTATATAGAAACTTGGCGTTTTAATGCTTTAAATGTTTTGTTTAACTAAGTATCTAAAATATTTGTATTGAAATTATAGGTATTGTTTATAAATCTACCATTAAAGTACACAAAATAATTAATGAACACAAGCCCTAAGGGTCGCTAAAGCATAGCAATCTAATATTTACACAGTATTGCGAAAGTTATCTTAATAGTATTTCTCGATATGATTTCTCGACTTATGTTGCGCCTGTTACGTTTACGATTTTAATTAACACAATTTAATATGATATGAACTAATTAGTAATTGGTTTAAAATAACCCTTTGTATCAATATTTTACTAGTGCGCCACGATATTATTGATATTGTAGACATAACGTGTTTTGTTTATTTAATGCTGTCGTAGAATGATCGAGATGGTCTATTTTGTAGTCAAGGTATTATTGGGTTACCAATATTGGTGAGAAAAATTAAGATATTTTGAAGTTTGAAAATTCAAATTCTTAGAATTCTGAATTTAAAACCATGATTTTACTCTAAATCTGGATTTCGAATTTTGAAACATTGAATTAGTATTCTTTGCGGATATTTTTCAGTTTTGTACATTACTCACTATTGTATCTTAAACATCAATTTCAGAAGAACACTATCACAGTATATAACCTTAATTTAATAATAAGTGATATTTTTTTATTCTATCATAGATAGGTAATTTTATGAAGTATAAACACTAATGGGCTTTTAATGTTTAATCTAGAAACTTTAAAAACGGCCCATTATATAATTACTTAATATAATAATTAATTTGTATCTAATAATAATATATATTAGGTACAACTTTTAAAATTATAAGTATTTTCTATGTTTAAAATATATAAGTTTGTAAGATTAGTTGCTTTAGATTTTGTACCAAGAAAATTATTTTTTATCAGAATACAGAAATCTACAATGTTAAACCCAAAAATTAAATTTCATGATCCAAAATCTAGATTTAGTAACCTAACGTCCGAAATCTGGATTTTTGGATTTTTGGATAATCCAGATTTATGTCATATCACTAGTTGCCACTTACACTTTTAGTTAGAGTTCATGGTTGTGATACACATTTTTAAACTACCGTTTGCGTTTTCACCCATTTTAATTGTCTACAATAACGATCAAAATATTATTCATAGGTATAAAACAATTTCCAATTTTAAATAGAAAACTCGTATTATGTAACGTTTTTGGTGACCCATGACGAACTAGCGAGGAGATCTGTGAATAAAATTTGATGAGCTTACAAAGTGACTTGAATGTTTGTACGAGCATTATGGTGTGCTGCTCGCTATGACTTATGTACTACTAAAGTCTATAAAGCTGCGTGTACTACCTATAAGCACGTGTTTTTTTTAAAAATTTATTTTTTTTTTTTGTAAACACTGACCTTGAAATCATTCACGGGTTTTGTTTTTTTAACTAAACCATGTATAACGACCTGTAAAGTGTAAACTCCCAACTTCGAGTCCCTGATGCACCACTACACTATTCTGACGAGTTCAATAAAACAAAAAAAAATTATGAGTGGAAAAAAATTCAAATAATCAAATTTTGAGATTTTTTTAGTTTTTCATGTATACAACAAAATATACATTTTGAAAAATTTATTTTTATTTTTAAATTATCCTAATTTGTTTCATGTTTTGATGCTTTTACAAACAGACACACTTAATGGTTTTCAATATACACATTATAATTTAGTCGCATTTATACATGGTTGCTTTTGTACGAGTTAATAAAAAAAAAAAAATGAATTTTAAGTGATAATGTTCTATAATGGAGTTGCACAGTCTGCAAAGTAAATACAATTGAAAACGATGTTATGAGTGTAACGTGCTATTTTTTCTCTTTTATGTGTATCGTCTTACTGTCAATTTTACTCCTTCCTAATCAGTTACCACTGTTTTTTTTGTTCATAATTTTTCTTATGCTTTAATTATTCGTGAATTATTCGCTAACATCTTATAAATACATATTATAAACAGTGTACGTATTTACTTAGTTTGTAAAAAAAGTTGTAAGTTACTCAGTGTAATCCAAATACAGATATGTACGTACTATACACACAATTGTTTAACATTAAATTCCTCCTCTCTATGTAATGTCATATAATTACCTGCAGGTATTCAATTTGTAGTGCATTTTATTGATAATTAAACGACCTTCAAATAGCCTGGTGTATATATTGCAATTTATTTTCAATTTGCAAGTTATTATAATAAATGATAGAAATATTATCGTTTGTAAAAAAGTCGTTAATTCTATATATAATTCACAATATTAAATAATAATCTCAAATTGCTCAAATGTAAAATTTGAAAAAAATTCTATTTACATTAAATGTAGAAAAGGTAATATTTGATCTTTAAAACTACCTAGAATAATACCTAAATAATAATTATGTCGATTTTCTGAAACATAATTATATCGATTTGATATTAAATATTGACAACATTTAAGATGATCTATTATTAATATAATTGTAAATAGGTAATATGTTCCTATTTATTATGTGTGATAAATTCTTGATAATCAGCGTAATTGTCATTTGTCTAAATTTCATCCTTTAATATTGTGAATAAAGAATAATCGTTTTACCCAAAATTTGTTATCCATCTACCTATATTAAATAAAAATTAACTGTAATGATAATTTTTTTATAACTATTGAAATTAAATTAAGCTTAGAGTACAAGAAATATATCGTAATCATTGAAGTTAATAAATAATTAGAGATTTTTATGTAAGTATATTGATCAAGGTATTGATGTAAGATATGATGTTATATTTTTTTAATTGTTTACAAGTCATTACCTTTTAAATAATTTATTCATTTATAACTAAACCATTTGAGATCATATTATATCTCTTAAAATTTTTTTTATACTTATTTTACACCTTAATTACTATATTGATAGTAGTGATTAACGACTGGATTTATGTTTGACTACTTAACAACTTTAATAACGTTGTACCTATATAATTTATCTAATCTCGACGTATGTTTGGTTTTGTTTTACAGTTTTGTAGATCTAATGCTTGTGCTATAATGAAGCACGAAAGCCAGCACCCAGAGCTTATTTCAAATGGAAAGGGAAAACCTTTCAAAAAAAGCATCAGTTTAAGTGCCCTGGGTCTGGGAAAACTGTGGCGAAGGCGATCTGTGACCATAACCGAATACGATCCATGTTACAAGGTCGTTTATCTGGGCAACGTCCTCACTGGCATAGCCAAAGGTATGTACTATATATTATTGTAATAGTTATTAGTATTTTAAAATTATTTTGGCTGTAGAATTTTACCTTAACTGGATACCTTCGTCATTTGATTATGCTGTATAAATTATAACTCCCACATCCTGTGTTTGTATAGCAATTAGAACGTGTTTGACTATAGGTTTGGTGGATTGTAAACTCGTATTGAAATCCCGGCCGCCCGGGGCGCATTCGTCAATACGTCATGTTTTGATTCTAAACTAAAGTAAGAACTTAAATTTTATAGGCTTACTCGTACATTTTATTTTAATTAATATTAAAAGTTTTTTTTAATTATTTCTTCTATTTAAAATTTAATTATACAAACCAACCTCGTTTTTGATGGTTTATAAAAAAAAAGTTGTATCATTACTGACAGATAACAATAAAAATAATCATACAAAAACTAGCGATGTTGCCATTGTCGATAAAAAAAGAAAAAAACACTTTTTTTTATTAAAAATTAAATTTTAATTTTAAATTAATGAATACACAGAAATGTAATATTTAGTTATATCTACCTAAAATTTTTTTCATTTATAATTCATGTTATTTTTATTTATTCGAATATAAATAAAAAAAAATATTTAGAAGTATTAATTAGTAATTAGTGAAATAATTCCTTAAAATATATAATATTATATTAAACAGCTATTACTTGCATATTTATATTTTTCGATAATTGGGATTGCGTGTTATAATGAATAAATAATTAAATATGTTAACCTAATACAATTTATTTTGTTAATTTACTATCTAATACTTAAGTTAAATAACACCAAGTAAACGGTGAACATTATTATATTTGTGTATTTAGTATTATAAATAATTACGTTTTACATGAAAAAAAAATATTTTATTCTTAATAATAATTAGAAAAAAATGTTACCAGAGTTATAAGAGTATTAGGTATATACTATACAAATTATTGCAATATTTAACTCTTTTTAATAAAATGTATCAAGTAAATAATCCTCATATTTGATTTAAATATAATTGCATCAACTTATTGAAAATTTTCTGTAGGTAATAATAATGTATCTATATCAAATATTAATTTTAGATTTCTATAGAATTTCATTCTATATTCTATACAAAATGCACTATGTAAAAATCTTTTTTTTTTTAAACTGTGGAAGGATACAAAGTTATATAATAGAATATTAAACATTTTATGGTGATGATAATTTTGTTTCTATAAAAATTTAAGTTTAAATCGTCGGTTTTAATTTTAATTTTATTAAGTATGGTTTTTTTCCATATATATTATATATCTACATCATTTTAAAAGTATTATTCATTCTCATCATCTTATCGTTGAGAAAATATTATTTATCTATCTATCTATCTATGTATAATATATATATATTTATTTATTTATATATAAGTAGGTATATATATTGCATATAATATTATATATATATGTATATATTATACACATAAAATCGGATACATACACGTAGATTTGTTACAGTGACAGACACACCTTTGAAATCCTCTCTCTCTCACTCCTAGGTCGAAGCTACGCCTATCAACCGTTCGAAAATATATCTTCTAATGCATTCCATTGTGGAAATTTGCCACATTGTTCAGAAAGGCATTATAATATTATATATATTATATGAATGCGATTATATTATATTATGTATATGTAATATAATATAATGTATTAAATATTTCCGCGTGGACGTCACCATTGATGTTGTTAGATTGAAGCTCCACCCACCCCCGTGTGATTGTATAAAATAATAATAATAATAATATTAATAACAATAATAATCGTTTATCGTGCCTAATCTTGTAGTATAGTTGCTTCTTTTTCCGTTCTACCGTCTTGGCATTTCTTGCAATCTGCTAATTTGTTCCGATCATCTGATATCTCCACCGCAATATCGCCGATAACGTATACCAAACCACAAGCTTATAAATAACCGTGTAATTACAGATTACCTTGCCTACTGTTGAACGTTGATCATATATTTTTTTTCAATTACATAATCTTGCATGCATACATCTTATCATACATACAATGACAAAATTTCATTGTAGTATTTTTATAATATTACTTTTGCAAGAGTTTGTTTATTTATTTTTTTCGTAATACGTATGTATACCAATAAAATAATAGCTAGCAGCCATCTCATTTAAGTGATAATACTGTAATAGTTAAATATTTTTCAATATACGAAAGGGAATTAAATTAAATGTCTCAAAATATACTATAACAAATATCAAGTTGTATAAAACCTAATTTAAACATTAAAAAAAATAAGAATCTAGGTGTGAAAAAAAGACTAAAAGATTTTTTATTAATACAGTGGTTATACTGTAGTCTGCTCATTAAAAATAAAATTTTTTTGTGCACGTTATAATTTCCTTTTCGAATATTATAATATACTACAAATAATGAATATAATATGAAACCTCTTAGTTTAAAATTAGATATTATTATTTATATTATTTATATATTGCTCCTTATTTTTGTAATTGTTAACATTTCAATTTTTATAATAATTAATAGCATTACGTATATTATTTTATTCGAAAAAAAAATGAACGCAGACACATTAACGACTTTAGATTGGCACTGTTTGCACACGTGATATATTTAATTCTAAAGGGTTTTAAAGTAATTATTAATAAGTACAACACTTGTCGTGGCCAACGCCTGTTGCGTTTTAAAAGTGTTTCTCTGGCGATAAAACAAAAAAAATTACTTCGAGGGCTTGACAACATTTGTTTGTGAAGGAACGTTGTCTGGACAATTTTATTAATTACAATTAATTTTCGTTTTTCGTTTTTTTTTTTTGTGTTTATTTTTACATTCATCCCATAACAATCGACCTGAATTTTTCATATTATTCTTACACCATTTTTTTTTTTTTTTTTTTTTAACTGTTAGTTTAATTGAAATTTATTAATATTTATTTATTTTTTGTAATAAATTGTCAAATAATTACCGTGTTAGATATAGGTACTGCAAATAATTCAATAATATAAGTTAAATTTAAACATTTATTTTGAGAGTGACTTTAAAATTAAAATTGATAGGATTCGAAGGATTTCCTATTTAATTTTTATCATAACATTCATAACTACCATGTAAACATGGTATGTTACTTCTAAGCAAAACGTGAATAGAAATATTAAAATATAAAAATATAAATCATTCAAAATTCATCTAGGTGATACACATTTCCAAATTTGATATTAACCAAGCTATAGTTATATCCTATCAGTGTGTTTATAATATTATATGCATTATATTATAGTATTTTTTAAATTTAAATTTTACTATAGTTTATAGACTTTTTAATCTCGTAAAATCGTGAATTATACATATCAATAATATATTTATTTTTATATTTTAAAATACAGTAATTTAAATAAATATTGATACTATTTAAATGAACAAACATTTTCTAAATAAAATAGAATAGTATGTTTTATACTGTGATGTATGTTTTTTTTTTTTTTTTTTACTATTGAATGAATATACCTGCAGTCATAACATCAATATTTTAACAGTTAAATCAAACCACAGATATTCCGTTATATTTACTTTTTCAATTAGTTTTTTTCATTAGATTGATACTGTTTTAAAAAATTGATTGAGTAAGTTTAATTCACGGAATAATTCGTTATTATATTAAAATATAGATTTGAAAATAAACAATACTTAAGCATAATTTTATGAAATTTTTTTATAAAAATTTTTAAACTGCCTTTTATGTTTTGCCATAAGTAAAATATAATAATTACATATGCACACAATTTTTTGTATGTTTTCATTGTACATTTATATAATATTATTAATAATAACGTTATGCTTATGACAAATGTTAAAAAAATAATTTTTAATGTTATGTAAACATATTATAAATACTATGCACTTTATCCATAATAAAACAACTTCTATATCCTTAATTTTGATTTCTATCGTATTCGACATTCTCTTAAAGCTTAGGTCATTATCAGTGATACGTAATGGTATAATAGGTAGGTAGTAGATAAACTAGTACAGAAGTACATACCAATACTTCTCACCCATCCGAGCCATTAGCGTCGACTGCCGAGCACCTAAATTTCAGGATTAATGTTATATTATTATTTATTTTGTATGAAATTCCCCTTTTTGTGCTCAGTGCGCGATTACCAGGGATAAAATAATAATTCATTGCTCTTCTCTTGCTTTTGATAATGAACAGTGTTCAGAGCAGTAGTGTTTGTGTTGATAATTGCGAAACGGTGTAGCGTGGTGGTAACGCAGTTTTTTTTTTATTGTATGTATTATTATGGTTGTCGAAGGTCGGTTGGTTGGCTTGTTTCTCCCGTAAAAAATTCACTGGGTACTCATATCCGTTGTCGGTGGTGTACAAAATACGTTTTCATCGCTATTAAGGTATTTCGTATTTTCGTGTATCTTTGGTAATATGTTTAATGTATGTATGATGAGGGTAGTTATTGCTATTAGTAGTTATTCGAATGACAGAAAGTCGAAGACTTGTTACAATAATTGCATTGTCGCCTGGGTAGTGTATCGCGCTAACGCTTCATGCCCGGCAACACGCGTGTGCGCAATGACGGACAGTCGTCGACGACAACAATGCGATCGTTGATTAATATAAATAATAATAATAATAATAATAATAATAAACATAATAAAAATAATAATATAATAATAATGTTGGGTTGTAGACTGTAGTCGTTGATGATGCCGCCGATATTGCTTTTGTTATCACTCCCGAGGCCCTCATTGTTCCGGACACTGCACGGTACTCTTCCCAGTTTTCGATTTCTAATAAAGGACAACTTCTACTACCTATACTACCTATACTAATGTTACTATAACTTCCACTACCACTACACTATTACTACTTATGCTACTGCAGGTAGATACTCCTACTGTTAAAAAAGTAGGTATTTTATAGTTGTAGTACCAGCATGACTTTACTACGCTAGGTTCTTCGTTTTGTGTTGCA